ATATTCTCCTGAACCCGGCCTCCGCTGTTTTCAGGCGGGTTGCCGGTGTTGATAAGCAAACCCACTAGATGTTTCCAATGAAATTGTAATCAATCTGTCCCGTATTTCTTAGGGACTCCATCCCTATGCCCCTCATTGCTTTCCCTCAAAGTCTTCCAGAGAGTTAGCACCCCATGACTTTTCTTCTCTCGAGAAGAACATATAAAGCCTTTTACCTTTCAAGAACGGAGGCAACACTCTCACTTGCCGACCCATCAGCACTGGGCCCCGACGCATTCATATTCGTATGCTACAAACATTGCATCACTCACCCTTGCAGTCCTATTATCGCTTTACAATCTTATTTGGTCACAAGGAAGTCTCCCGGCTGTGGAAATCCGCCATTGTTCTCCCTTTCCGCAAACCAGGCAACTAGGGACATGAAACTTCCCACTATCGCCCTTTTGCTCTTACCAGTGCAGTTTGCGAAGTGATGGAACACCAGTAAATAACGTTTAGTGTGGTTTTTAGAGACACACAACAGTCTCTCCACTCGTCAATATGGCTTTCGTAAGGGACGTTCTACCATAGACCCCTTACTACGCTTGGATACGTATGTTCGTAATGCCTTTGCGAATAACCACTCAGTTATTCCCATATTTTTTGACCTTGAGAAGGCATATGACACAACTTGGAGGTATAATATTTAGCCCAAGCCCACCCCTTTAGGCCTTCGAGGCAATCTACCATCCTTCCTTAAGAACTTTTTAACTGACAGGCATTTCCGTTTTCAGGTTAATAATGTCTCTCCCTGGACTTTATCCAAGCTGAAGGTGTCCCCCAGGGATGTGTTCTGACACAACACTTTTTCTCCTTGCTATTAATGATTTGGCCTCTAGTCTTCATCAAATATTTGGTCATCACTCAATGTTGATGACTTTGCTTTTGCCTGTCAGGCGCTGACTGTCACCTTATTACAGTTTCTCTCCAGCATGCAGTCGACCGTGTTTCCAATTGGCCACCACACGGGGGTTTAAATTTTCCAGCACTAAAACCCACCAATTACTTTCACTAGACGCTCTGTCATCTCCGATCTCCTTTGTACCTCTATGGCTCTTGTATCCCTGAACGTGATACAGTCAAGGTCTGGCCCCCTCTTTGATCGTAGGTTATCCTGGAAACCTCGCAATACCTCTCTGAGGCAACTTGTTTACAGCCGGCTGAACCTTCTTTAAAACCCTTGCTCATCTTTCATGGGGAGCTGATCGTCGAACCCTCCTTCGGGCCCACATTCCCCCCCTTATCTTATCGAAACTTGATTATGGTGACCAGATCTATTCAGGGGGCATCTCCTGCTACTCTCTCTAGCCTTAACCCCATTCATCACCAAGGAATTACGTTTAAGCCTTGGGGCTTTTCGCTCTTCCCCTGTCGAGAGCCTCTATGCAGAAGCGAACGTTCCATCCTTATCCGATCGCCGTGAAAGCCCATTGCCTTCGCTACTATTACGGGTCTCATGATCTCCGCAACCTTTTCCCTTTATAGAATGGTCACTGATATTTAGTAGACATTCTTTATTTGTTCGCCGCCCCTGTTTACTCCTCCCCTTCTCTCTTCGCCTTCATTCGCTCTTGTCTTCTCTTCAATTACCACCTTTCTATGTACATGTAGCATCTCACTTTTCCCTACCCCCCTGGGAAGTTCCAGCGTTTGAGTCTGTTCTTTCTCTCTCCCTTGCCGAAAAGCCCAACTGTCTACGGCCGCTTCCCGCTCTCTTTTTTTTGACCACTTTCACTCTCATTCTCATGCCATTGCTGTGTACACAGATGCTCTAAGTCTTCTGACGGCGTAAGGGTTCGCAAACAGTTTTTTCCGGACAGCGTTGTACAAGGGCATTTACTATCTTCGGCTATATTTTTACTTCTTTAATTGTATGCCATCCTTACAGCACTTATCCGTATTGCATCTATGCCTGTGTCATCATTTGTGTTGTCTCAGACTCCCTTAGTGCTTTACAGGCTATACAGAAATTTGATACACCTCACCCCTTAGTCCTCCGTATCCAACTTTGGCTACGCAGCATCTTTACCAAGCATAAAGATATTTTTTTTTTGTTGGGTCCCTGGTCATGTTGACGTACAGGGCAATGAACTGGCAGACACTGCTGCGCGGTCAGCAGTACATGACCTACCAGTTTCATGTAGAGGTATTCCATTTACGGACTATTTTTGCTGCAATATCTTCCCAACTTCACACCCTTGGCAACAACGTTGGTCTACTATGCTCGGCAACAAACTTCAATCTATTAAACCGAGTATAGGTTACTGGCCGTCTTCTTATCACCAGTGTCGAGGTTGAGAGACTACTCTCTCCCGTCTTCGCATTGGCCATACTCGTCTTACTCATGGAGAGGCGTCCTGCTCCTCTTTGTGAGAATTGCCAAGCTCCATTATCAGTCAGCCACATTCTGTTGGACTGCCCACTTTATCAACGAGCACGCAGAATTTACCTCTGTCGTCGTCTTCGCTCCGCTACTCTCTCTTTACCTTCCCTTCTTGCTGATGGACCCACCCTTCATCCAGACACTCTCATTGACTTTTTGACAACAACTGACTGACTTCACAAATTCTGATACCTTCAGCCCTTTCTACTTCAAGCTCTTGCTACCCTCTACCCCCGTACTATCCCCTGCCCCGCTGTTTTCTGTAACCTACTGATCATCCCTCCTCCCTTCTGCCATCCAATACCCTCGCTTCCTTCCCTACCCTGCAGCGCTGTATAGCCCTTGTGGCTTAGCGCTTCTTTTTGATTATAATAATAATTTGCCCATGTTCAAGAGTAAACAAACGATCCCACATGTCTAATACACGCCAGCTGGTGGGTCTAATATACATTCACAAATGTGGTGATATTATTTATACAATTATATTACAGTATTGCATAACAATAAATCTTCTATATTTGGGTTTGAATAAAAATTCATTGTGAATAAAAAATCAAAATTGAATTCATTTGTAAAGCTTGAAAACGTAACTGATGAACAGAGGAAATGTTAGTTTAGTTCCAGGAATGCCTGCATTGTTTATTCTGGACCCTATTTTGAAATTAGAATACAGTATTTTGAACTTTGCATTAAATTGGCCAAATTACCAATTTCCAATCACTTTATTCTGTAGTTGAAACAGTTGACTTGGTGATTTCTTGTGCTCAATCGATAGAATAGAAGTATTACTAGTGAAATAGCTAAGAATTTGGTCGACTGGAGTAATATAATTGGCCTAAAATGGGAATCAGTGTCGGCAAAATCGCCGATGCGTAAATATCGCTGACACATCAAAATTTGAGAGAGCATAATTTTGTCAATTTTCCATAAAAATTTCGTACATTGTTTTATTACCTTCAGAAAAAGATTCTCTACCATTTCATAAGAAAAAATAACAAAATTATTTTTTGAAAATTCTTTGACACTGGTGTGCACTTTGAAATTTGGCCTCTGGACCCTGAAAGGGTTAAGGCTAGAACACTACTTTGTATGACCATGCTGAGATTCATTGATTATATTTTACCTTTCAACGTGACTTTGAAATGTATCCACAATTATTAATTCCATCAATTTTCCCAGAAATGTTCGGCTGATATGTCTCTAATTTGAAGCCAAGAACCTATTACTCACTTTGTGACTTTGTAAATAATTCATGTCGGACCGAAAGATCATCGTAAGTTTCTCTCTCCTGTGTGGGGGTTATTGTGTGTTATTCCAGTCCCCGTATTGTGGCTTTTTGTTCTTTGTGAATGGGTATCACATTTGTCATTTTCCACTTATCCTGTACAATAACCATTATAGTTACAGGTTAAGAAGACTAGATAATGTGTTGCTGCATTCTTCCTTACATTAGAATTCTTCAAAACAGCTCATTAGGGCCTGATGACTTGTTTTCGTTTCAGTCTAATTGACCAGAGATAATGTCACTAATGACTTGAATCTTGCATAATTTATTTTCTTCCTGACCTGTTTAATTTCTGATTTCTACGATGTTTGCAAACTCATGTGTAAAAACAGAGGGGAAAATTAGTGTTAAAATTCATACACATTTCTGTCACTATCAGTAAGCTAGAACCATTCTACGTCCAGTAACATGGACTAACGTTCCCCAATTCTGGGTGACCCACTTCTATCAATCAGCACCTCACAACTAACCTTGTAACACCTACAATTATCCTCTAGCAGGACACTATCTCAGAATCTGCTTAGCCAGCCAACTTCAGGTGAACAACCAATCTCCATCAAACGAACTGCAACTACCACCTGCAGCTGCAGCCTTACGACCAACCTCTTGTGAAAAAAAAATCAAAGGCAATTGCAAACAGTATGCATCCTTCCAATTCAGTGGCTCACTGGTATACACCTGATATAGTGGTGTGCAACTGACGGGTAGGAGGTATACCTATCCTATAAACATAACTTTACCACGAATTACACAACACGTATGCACACACATTCAAATTGTACCAATGTGGATAGGGCACTTACCTTTAAAACCCCACCTCTCCCCCCACCCCACCCCTAACCTTTCACACATTCCATCCTTACCCATCCTTCTTCCTTCCCCATCTCGCCAAAGCTCTGGTCAGAACCTTGCTACCTCGTCTGAGTCACATCTAAGTACACCTCTATTTTTCCTAAACTTATTCTGATATACGTGAAAGAAACCTTTCTGTTTGGTCTTTGATTCATTTGCAACTTTAGTCTTTTTGATAATTCATCATCAGTGTTTTTATATAAGAACTTTTTGGAATTTTGTCTGTATTGACCTATATTTTCCTTGGTTTTGGGATGGTTTTTGTCTAATCTGTTTGCTGATTTGAGAAAACCATTGAGCAAAAGAATATATCCCTGATACCTTTCAGGTTTTATTCACTTTTGGTTTTTATTTAGCCAGGAGAAAGTTTACCTTGGTTATGTTACTTTGGGCTTTACCTATGGTAAACAGTTATTCAATTATGTCTTCCTGTACATAAACCATTGAACATGTGTTTTTCTTTTTGCAGGAAACTGGAAGACAGACAAACATGTCCATCACAAGTTACAGAGAATGGCAGGAGGATTATCTTCAACTTTGCATATGCCAACACCTCAAAGATGGTCATTGTGAATATTCTCATTCTACTTCGTTGGTATAATGCTTCCCACATCATAGGTATGGCAAATCTTAAGCTCAGTGAAAGAGAGGGTGGTGCCAGTGTATAGGACTTAGAGTATTTTGTGGCTGCATAACAGAAAATAAAAAGTGTTTCAGCTTGTGTGGTAAAAGGTGTAAAGTAGCCTTATATTGAAGCAGAATCCAGATCTGTGACCGAGAACTAGTGTGGAAATGAAGTGGTGAGGGTGGCAGGTGAGAGGAGCAGGCATGAGGTCAGGTGTGCCCTGACCCGTGCCTCCAGAGCCGTGCCCCCCGAGCCAGCCATGGGCCAGGGGCCAGCTACCATCACCACCAGCATCAGGTTCACCAGCAGCAAGTGTCGCACTGGGCCATGGATTCTTCTGATCTCACACACAGCCCCCATCAGGTGCGCCAGCGTGTTCAGTACCAACAGCAACAACGAGAAATGCGAGAACTCCAGCTAGACAGGGAACACCAGGAGAGGCATCAGCAGCCACAGGAAGTAGCCAGCCTCACTGGTGGCTGTTGTGGTTCTGGCTCATCGTGCAGCTGTGGTGGGGGTTTGTCATCAACAGCTGCCATTTATGGTACAGCATCTGCCCCTGATCCCACTTCTCATACAGTAGTGGTGACTCCTCCTCGCAGCCTCCCCCACCACCACCACCACTACCACCAGCAGAGACCAGACTCTCCCATCACCACCAGTGCCACTGCCACAAGTAGTGGTAGATGTAGTGGCACAAGTGGAACTTGTAGTAACAGTAGTGGGTGTGGTCACTGGTGCTCATCATGCAGGGTGCGTGTCCAGCTGGAAGTGGAGTGTGTGGGAGGGATGGAGGCTCGGCCCTCTCCTTCACGTGGAGGTCGACTACGTACCTTAGCCTTCCCGAAGAGGCATCGTCACAAGACAAAAACACCAACCAGGGATATCCCACCACAGCCCAAGAAGAAGAAGACTCCCTGGACATTCAGATTAAACTGCAGGCTACGACCCTCAAAGTCTGAGCCAGAACCAGAGACAACCTCCACTGTAGGCTGTGGTGCGTGCATGTGTCCAAGCTTAAGGAGGCCAGAACCTGATCTCCATGCTCATCACCACCACCACCACTCCCTGCATGGACACCCTACCAGTCAAGATGTGCCCACAGTCTCCAGTGTAGGAGTAAGCATGGCAGCAAGTCCTGGCGGTGCTGTAGCTCTGAGGGCTCCTGTCATTGATCTATCTAGGTTTAACCCAGAAGCTTATCCAATTGAAGACTGGGAGGAACATGCACGGCAGGAGAGAGCACGGGAGATGGCAGAAGGTGTGGAACCACCTCCAGGATTTGCTTCAGGGTCCCTCAGCCTTCCTCAGACACATCACAGCTTCACACCTGCACATCATGCTCTCACACATCTGCAGTTGCAACATCAGCACCAACTGCAGCTACAGCAAGCAGGTGCAGCAGTGACCTCTCTACCTTTAGCCTATAATTCCATGCTTGACCTGCAGTTACTTTTGGAGCGGTCTCTTCGTTTGGGTCTGGCAGGGCCACGTTCTGTTGCTACCTCACTCACAGAGGAAACATTCTTGCAACAAGTTGGTCGTCTTGCTGGGGATGGCTCACTCTTGCAACGTACTGTACATACACAAGTGGATTACATTCATTGTCTTGTACCTGATCTTCTCAGTATAACTAATTGTGTATTCTATTGGGGCAAGATGGATCGGTATGAAGCAGAGCGTCTCCTTGACAACCGTCCGGAGGGAACTTTCCTTCTCCGGGACTCTGCACAAGAAGAATACCTCTTTTCTGTTTCTTTCAGGAGATATGGCCGATCCCTCCATGCAAGAATTGAACAGTGGAACCATAAGTTTAGCTTTGATTCACACGATCCTGGTGTGTTTGCTTCTGATACTGTATGTGGCTTGATAGAGCATTACAAGGACCCATCTTGCTGCATGTTTTTTGAACCCATGCTAACTAATCCACTTGCTCGTACGTTCCCATTCCCATTACAGCACTTGTGTCGTGCTGTTATTTGCTCCACCACCACTTACGACGGCATCAATAACCTCCGTTTACCCAAGCCACTGAACAACTACCTCAAAGAGTATCACTACAAGCAGCGGGTTAGAGTGCGGCGCCTCGACCACTAGTGACACATTGTGAACTGATTTGAGAGTGCTGCTAAATGTGCAAGATACTGTGGGCTATAGTGGTGCATACTAGTTGAATCCCACACAACACTGAATGGGGCACAAACCACTTCAAACTACTAAACCATGAAAGCCACAACTGGCTATGTTCATACAAATGTAAGATAATAAGTGCTGGTGTGGTCACAAGTTTCTGATTAATTATGGGGCAGCCAGTGAGGCTGTCTGGGGATTAACTTCCAGGGAGGTGGGGTTGTGCCCTCAGTTAATGATTTACATATTCTCTTCCTATGTGGGTCATTGCTCATCTTCATATGGTAGTAGCCATTTAGTAATTCAGGCATCGGGCTTCTTCCCAGCTGTGGCGGTGCTGGGGAACACCCCCCTCCCATTTCTAGCCCCCATTCTCCGACCTTCCCTACACACACCCAGTGTTTCCAGAACATCATTATACTGTTAGTAAATAAGTGTGTTTATATTCAACTGCCCATGGAATGCCTAGATACGCTTAAAACTTCGTACTATGTATACACACTCATAGCCCTTCCCTTCCCCTTTTAGAGAGTGAATGTGAGTTTTATGGAGGTAAGTGCTTGAGAGAGAGAGAGAGGAGAGAAGAGAGAGCACAGTGTTGGTTGATGATCAATGGTGCTAGCTAGCACCTTGGCTTGACAAGTTTCTGCCTTCAAAATTACCATTATTTCAGTCTGTCTTCTGTGAGTTATTGCTTGTTGGCAATTGATGGAAAAAATACTGAGTATGGTATTGTACAGTATTGCATTGTTTGTGGCATAAAATGAACTTTAGGTCTTTGTAAAGAATTTTGAATCTAGAGAAGAATGTAGATTGTGACCAGATTTTGGGAGTATCTTACAGAGAGAGATTTAGAAGTTAATAAAAAAAAATTGCTGGATCGTATAAATTGTAAGAAATTTGACACACTGCCTAACTGTAAAAAGCTTGGAAAATGTATTTGAGAAATTATGAAAAAAAAGCTATTTCCTATGTATATTAGACCAAAATTTATGTATGCAGCTGCTGTATAATGTCCACAGGTGGATCAGATATAAAGTCATTAAAAACTATAAATTGTATCCCAGAGCTAAAGAAAAATTAATGGACGGTTAAAACACTGACAGTGGCTGATAACAGGAAAAGAAGAGATACAACAACAAAAACAACGTATTAAGTTATATAAGGTTTTGAAAGAATAGAGAATGAAGGTTAAGAAAGTGAAGCTAGAGAGACTGGGAAATTTCTTTACAAATAGAGCGTTATAAAAGTAAATGTTGTGGCAATACTGATAATATGGGGAAAAGACACTTTGTGCACTGTACGGTTCAGTACATTTATTAAAGACAACGTTTCACAAGTGGCTTCTTCAATCCTAATACTGAGACAAGTATTTATAGTGGCAAGAGTCAGGTGCCAACCTGTGAGAGGGTGGTGGTAGTAGTACAGCTGTGGTGAGATGGGTTGGGCTTGAGAAGCCCTTATTAGCATCACCTTACAGCAGTCTTTGAAATGGGCAATATCCTGTTGATCAGCAGTTTGGATATGGTGTAATTGTAACTTGCATCAGCAGTCTGGCAATTACACCATATCCAAACTGACTCATTTCCTGGCAATTTTGCTGTTAGGTCTTCTGTTCTATTGCCTGAGCACAATAAACTGTGCTCGTTCATCTATCAGAACTATATACCATATAAACACCCAAAAATCTGCAATTTTTGCTAATTTTACACATTCAAGCAGTCCAAAATTAAAGCCACTAAAGCAAGTTATCCTCAGTTCACATCCCCAGGCCTCTTTTATGCAACATTTGCCCTCTAGTTTGAATACATCGTCACAACAATTTCACCCCCATTTTTCAGCAAATAAATCTATATAAAAATTATCATGGTTTAGGCTATGCAAATAATTGAAACAGACCTAATAAAGATCCATAAAACAGACAAGGTGGGCCATACTCTTAAATAAAATTTCCAGGAATCTAATATTTCAGCCTCTTCAATGCCTATTTCAGACCACTTCTGGTCTGAAATTAACCAAAATCATCTCTATTTTACTGGTATTCTTTCTGATATATTAATTGACATAAAGAAATGGCCAGTAGAACTATTAAAACCACCTAGAAAATGCCTCAAGTTACTATTTTAACCCAAATACAAGGTCAGAGATTATTTGTACCTATCATGCACTGCATGGGGCAGTATCTATATTTATAATGTGTACACCCACTGCACTGACCAATTTATATCTCATTCTAGGCCAAACTGTACCAATCACAGCATATTTAAAGGTTCTGTGATTAGGACATGGATCTCCTTAGGCGACACTGTCCTCTTGTCATAGATCTATGTGAAGAACAGCGACAAGGTTCAAAGGAAAACACACACATGCGCTTGCTTGCTTGCACATACATGTCCACAATGCCTGTGCACAAAACAGACAAAATGTGCACTAACATGTACACAAAACACATCATGCATGGTGTACACAAAAAAAATTTGCATTATACACACACAACACAACCCTTAAAAAAAAAAAAAAAAAAAGTCCAGAAAGTGGTACTGATGACTGGAAGGGCACCTGAAATATTGGTATTGGGCAAAGTCGAGTATTAACAGGATTGTCTGTTATTGTCTTTCACAGTAAAACAATCTTTTCTGTATCTACCACAATTGCCATTACTAGCCCCTAGCTGTCCCTCATTAGTTCATTATATTTTTAAGAGTGAGACTGAAGTTGCTAATATTTTCTGCCACACAGGATCATTCAAGGTGCAATACAAACCTTTCAAACTTATTAAAGCCAAATTAGCAAAATGTGTGCTAAATAATGTAGGACAGGCTACAGAAATTGAAATCGTAAATAATACCACAATTGTAGTGATAATTTTTATTGCATCAGCACATTAAAGAAGCAGCTAGTGTGAGAGAAGGTAAGACACTAATGTTTTAAGACAGATCTACCAGTGTTCACAAACAAGGTGCTTAAAGTCCAACATTTGAACAAATGTACAACAAAGATCAGAGATCACTGGGCAGTTTATTTATTTGCTGGGAGCAAATAAATAAACTGCAGATTCACTTTTGGGTATGAACACCTTTAACATTTCTTTACTAAGGAAGCTTTATTATAATATTGACCATCTGAGGAGTTGGCATTAATTTCTGTAGAGTTTTACAAAATATTTTACTCAGCTAACAATTTTTTTATATAGAAATATAACCTAAACAGAAAAGTATAATTTAAGGAATTTTAAGCCTTGCCCTTATTTAACCATTCTCATTTTTTCTTTAATTGTGCAAAGCTCAGAAGAGATGCTCAGATGATCAAATCAAAGTCTAGTAAATGTTGATTTCCCAAAAACTGTGGTGACACATTTTTCCTTCAGTGCTATTCCAGGAATCCAGTTTAAATGTTCTCTTGTAATTTTACCAAACAAGTCAGTCTATAAGTATGTATTACCATAAAAAAAAATATTTAAACCTGTGTTAAATGTGCCCTGTTATTTACAAGAAATAATTTTCTGTGTGTACTCTGTAACACGGGTATAATGGATTTGTTATTAAACCATACCATAGACGGGGCTTGAACCTGCAGTAGAGAGTCGTATAACCCCAGACCGACGTGTTAGCCACTGGGCCAGCTGGCCCAGTGGCTAACACAACGATCAGGAGTTTTAAGACTCTACTGCGGGTTCAAGTTCCATCCATGGTATGATTTGTTTGCAATCGTGTCAATACAATTTTATAAGTCATTTGATATTCATGTGAAAATATTAATTTTTGTGAACATGCAGTAAACCCTCTCATAACATACGGAACTGTGATCACTAATAAGTCACTGTAACTAGTGTTCCTGGTCAACATGGAGGGCATTCCGGGGATCAACGCCCCCACGGCCCGGTCCATGACCGGGCCTCCTGGTGAGCACAGTCTCCACTGTAATTTTCCAGTGTGGAATACATACGTGTCAATCAGCAACCCATGAAAATTAATGTGTGAAGTGTAGAACTTAGGGAGATGATAATGTTGTGGCAGACAATTAAGTTTTTACAAGCAACTTTTTTTTTTAATACAACCTTTCTTCACTTAACGACGAAGTTCCATTCCTAAGTCCACATCGGTAAACAAATTTGTCGCTAAGTGAGGAGCACATAATAATGGTAGTGGGTGTGTGTCGGCCATCCTTGATATTGTTTTAATGCCAGCTTTGCACCGTTTATAACATTTCTGGTATATTTTTAAATGTTTATACAGTAGTGTACTGTATAGAGAGGAATACCAGAGGAAATCAGCTCCAATATACATTATTTAGGTATGCATACTGGTCAGAGAGCCCATCGTAAGTCCGAGTCATTGGTAATTTGTTCCAGAAGGCTGTTAAAGTGCCATTACCGAACGAATTTGTTCCCATAAGGAATAGTGTAAATTAGATTAGTCTGTTTCAGACGACAAAAGCACTTACATTAATTAATACACTTACATAATTGTTCGAGTTGGGAGCTGTACGAAACTCAGGGTACCACTGTACGTCACTAAGTGAGGAGAGGCTGTATTCTAGTAAGTAAAATTTTTTACAGAATACATATCTTGTTAAGACACATGCAACAGTTAGGTAAGTTTATTTCAAAACGTTTTGCCTATACAGTAGGCTTCTTCAGTCAAGTACAGAGAACCCAATAAAAGTAGTAGAGATGTACATTCGATGTAATCAGTCCGTCACCCTCAAAGATGTAGCTTTGAGGTGTTCAGTCCCTCTTATTTGCAGAATATCTTACCATATGGAATGTTAATCATTACTTGAAACCTTTGAAGAGTGTGGGAAGGGTTTACTATCCGACTCTCACTGTGCATGTTAACATTTTCCTCGCCAAACTGTATGAAGCATGTAGGACCTTAACACATCTATACTAAGCAAATGTATACCAAAGTTTAATGCATTTGATAAAGTCAAAGCAAATAAAAGTATACAAAAATATGGGAGGCAACATTAGCCGAGCCCCTCAACATGTCAGCATTATAAAATTAATGGCCACATTTCCTAGCTAAATTGTGCCAGACATACAAGAATTTACCACATTTATACCAGAGATATACACCTACTAAAGAAGAATGCATTTGAAAAAGTAATAAAGTTAATAAAGTACAGTGGACCCCCGACTCAGGATATTAATCCATTCCAGAGAGCACATCGTAAGACAAAATTATCATAAGCCGATTTAATTTTCCCCATAAGAAATAATGGAAATCAAATTAATCCATTCAAGACACCCAGAAGTATGAAAAAAAAAATTTTACCACATGAAATATACATTTTCCTACACACAGAAAGATACATGCACAATATATATTGTGCATGTACTAGTGTACTAAGTGAAGAATAAATGACACTTACCTTTATTGAAGATGTAGTGATGAGACAGTGTGTCCTGGGAGTGCCTTTTCCTCCTGAGTAATGTAGGTCCTGTTTGGCATTTTCTTCCAGAACAAACCTTATCACACTGTATGCCACTATGATTCTTAAATCTCTCAAACCAACCTTTGCTGGCCTTAAATTCACCAATATGAGCACTAGTTCCAGGCATTTTTTCCTGTTCACCTGGGTGTTAGTCAACTGGTGTGGGTCGCATCCTGGGGGACAAGATTAAGGACCCCAATGGAAATAAGTTACAGTCCTCGATGACACACTGACTTTCTTGGGTTATCCTGGGTGGCTAACCATCTGGGGTTATTTGTTTCTCGGTATTCTCATAAGCCCGTGGTGGCTTATTTAGCAGTTACAAGCACTAAAAACGCTGGAAAAATACAAAATTTATCGAATGTATGCATTCAACCGTCCTCTCTGGCTTGTAAACAATGTCACACTAGCTCAGCTGAGGCGTTCAGGCCAGACGGACCAGATGGCTGTGTTCGGGACGAATGATGTAAGTCAAGTTTTTCAATGTAGGTCGGGGTCAAATTTTTATGCTGACAAGCATCGTAAGTCGGTTTTATCGTAGGTTGAGGCCATCGTAAGTCAGGGGTCCACTGTAATGCTATAGCCTATGCTTAAAATGTTGAATGCTGTGTCCAAAGGTGAGGAGAGATCTGACACAACCTCTGCCTCTGACTCTCAGCAATACTGTGAGGCTGTGGATTTCTATAACACTCTAGTACATATTTGAGTTGACCAAATAACTTTGTTTTGTACGCTCTATGAATAAGGGGCCTATAGCAAAGAGAAAGTCGTTAGTTGACTGCAGGACAGTCTTTGGCTCAAGTGAAGCCAGAGTCAGCAAGGAAGTAGCAAGCTTCCACCACTTTTCCCAAAATATTACTGCCTCTTTTACATTCATAATATAACACTATATCCTGGGCATCAGCTGACAGGAGACTTGCTCCTAAATCTTCCTTATTTTATTAGCCGAACACTATTTTGCTTCATCTAGCAAGGTGTTTGGGATCTCTAGAATATGCATTGTTTAACCAGTCAGCTGGTTAAACAACACGTGCCTCAAATGACATGTATACTGTACCTCCACTACTATTTTTTTTTATTTAATTTTTGGAGAATATGTACAGTGTGGTTTAGCTCCTTATGCAATTTTGGAATCACTTTTTCAGTTGCATTTACACAATCATACAGTGTCATACCACCTTAAAAGAGGGTTTACTGTAATGTAGAAAAGCCTTTAATGTGATCCCTGTGAGAGCTGTCAGTTTTGTCTTCAGTGTATTGGAATTTTAAGATTTTATCACCATTGGTCTGTGCTGTCGATTGCTTTGCCTTTGATAACACACACTGAATTATATTTTATCTTTAAGAAAAAGAATGATGCCTCCTGCACTCGTTAATGAATGTTTTAGTGCTACTTTATATCCTGTGTTCATATTTGCCTCATATTGCTAAGAGTAAGTGTTCAAATTTCTCAGCATCCTTCCTGTGCTGAAAACCACTAGTTTTCAAAGGCATGTCTATGAGTACACTGAGAGCACATTGTCAGGGACCCAAGACTGTTCAACTGCCTCCCAGCATATGTAAGGGGGATTAATAATAAACCCCTAGCTGTCTTCAAGAAAGCACTGGGCAGGCACCTAAAGCCAGTACCCGACCAGCCGGGCTGTGGTTCGTACATCAGTTGGCAGCCAGCAGTAACAGCCTGGTTGATCAGACCCTGATCCACCACAAGGCCTGCTCTCAGACCGAGCCACAGGGGCATTGACCCCCGAAACCCCTTCCAGGTATACTTGAGCCAACAATTTTGTCTGAGACAGAGCAAATGCAGGCAGGACTTGCTTATACAGCAGGTTAGGTTATAGGCTACTGAGGTAAAGTGAATCATAGCTTTTTTATTTTCCACTTTCAAATGCATATAAAAGCCTGATAACATTTTTACAATATCATATATTAACTCTGACTGTTTTGGTCGTATATATGCGTCTTACGAGCCACCGTTTTGGACGTATATATACTCATAAATTCTAGCGGCTTCAAATCAAGCAGGATAAAGCTGGTAGGCCCACTTGAGAGAATGGGTCTGTGTGGTCAGTGTGCACCATATAAAAAAAATCCTGCAGCACGCAGTGCATAATGACAAAAAAAACTCCGACCGTTTTTTTTTTTTTTTTTTTTTAATTAAAATGCCGACTTTGTGGTCTATTTTCGTATAGTATTTATGGCTGTATTCTAATTTTCTTGGTCTCATTTGATAGAATGGAAAACATTATAGAAATAGAGGTGATTTTGATTGGTTTTACTATGAAAAGAACCTTGAAATGGAGCTCAAATTAGGGAAAATGTTTGATTTTTGCCCATGTTCAAAAGTAAACAAATGATGTCATTTTCCAATAAATGTCCAACTAGCCATTCTAATATGCAGTCATAAATGGTTTGACATTATTTATACAATTATTACAATATTGCAGTAGTCTGCATAACAGTAAATCTTCTGTTTTTTGTTTGAATAAAAATTCAAAATAGAAAGCAAGAGTAATATCAGAGGGGCCTGGAGATATGACTGATGAACAAAGAAAATGTTATTTTAGAGCCAGGAATGTCTGCATTGTTCATTCTGGGCCCTATTTCGAAACTCATATTTTTTAATTTTTGTGAAATTGGCCAAATTGCAAATTTCTGACCACATTATTGGGTAGTTGAAATTGGTAAATGGGCGGTTTCTTGTACTCGGCCGATAGAAAAAATGGAGTTCTAAAGAAATAGCTATGAGTTTGGTCAACTGGAACAATGGAATTAGTTGAAAATAGGGCTCAAAGTGGGCAAAATCGCCGATTCGTAAATATCTCCTAGGTCGCTAACTTCATGAGAGCGTAATTCCGTCGGTTTTCCATCAAATTTTGTTCTTTTCGTGTCATTACAATCGGCAAAAGGTTCTCTATCGTTTCATAAAAAAAATTTCGACACCAGGAGACACCTCAGGATTTGGGGTTGCAACAGTCAAGGGGTTAAGTGAGCAATAGTGCTAGACTATAAAAATGCATATACAGTACATTCAATACCTACGTTAACCCTTTCAGGGTCAACAGGACCTCCCCCAGACTTGTTCTCAGGGTTGCCAAATAATAAAAAAAAAAATTATTTTTCTTATGAAAAAATAGAGAATCTTATCCCGATCATAATGACACCAAAAGTATGAAATTTGATGGAAAACTTACGAAATTATGCTCTCGCGAAGTTAGCGGTCTCGACGATGTTTACGCATCTGCTATTTTGCCCACTTTGCGCCTTATTTTCGACCAATTCCAGTGTACTAGTCGACAAAAATCATAACTATTTCACTACAGCTCCATTTTTTCTATTGAATGAGTACAAGAAACCACCCATTTACCGATTTCAACTATCCAATAAAGTGGTCAGAATTTAGCAATTTTGCCAATTTCACACAAATTTCAAAAGATGCCAATTTCCAAATAGGGTCCAGAATAAACAAGAAAGACATTCCTGGCACTAAAATAACATTTCCTCTGTTCATTAGTCACGTCCCCAGGCCCCTCTTACATTTCTTTTGCTTTCCACTTCGAATTTTTATTCTCACAAAAAATAGAAGATTTAATGTTATGCAGACTACTGTATTAGTGTAGAAATGATATAAATAATATCAGCGCACTTGTGAAAGAATATTACATTCACCAGTTGATGTGTATTGGACACTTGGCATGATTTGTTTACTTTTGAACTTAGGCAAAAATTGAACATTTCTGCTACTTTGAGCTCAATTTCAAGGTACTTTTCATTGTGAAACCAATCAAAATTGTCTCAATTTCTGTAATATGTCTTCCATTCTATAAAATAAGACCAGGAAAACTAGAATACAACCATAAATACCATACAAAAATACAGTGGACCCCCGCTTAATTAACGATCACCTCCCAATGCGACCAATTATGTAAGTGTATTTATGTAAGTGATTTGTACGTGTATGTTTGGGCTCTGAAATGGACTAATCTACTTCACAATATTCCTTATGGGAACAAATTCTGTCAGTACTGGCACCTGAACATACTTCTGGAATGAAAAAATATCGTTAACCAGGGGTCCACTGTACAGTGTAAAGTCGCTGTTTTAAACCAAAAACACGGTCGAAGTTTTTTTTTCTCATTACGCACTGTGTGCTGCTGGATTTTTTTTATACTGCACACACTGACCACATAGACCCATTCTTTCATATGTAGGCCTACCAGCTTTCTCTTGCTAGATTTGAGGGCGCTAGAATTTATGTGTACTAGTACAGGAGGGCCCCACTTATACGGCAGGTTAGGTTCCAGGCTACCGCCGTAAAGCAGAAACCGCCGTAAAGTGGAACACCCTTTTTTTTCCACTTATAAATGCATACAAACACTAGATAACAAGTTTACACTAACATATATTAAGTTAGCAATAGAACCAGGCATCAAAAAACAATAAAAAAGTACAATACACACATAGTGCACTCATTACTTACCTTAAAATATTTATAGTCTTAATCTAGGGTGAGACAAGTAGTATTTATTGTAAAAAAATCGTGTGGTATGTATGGTAATAGCCAGGCTACCTTACCAGGCCACCCAAACCCCCACATACTATTCTATGATATTTAAGCATCCCAGAGCGATAAAATGTATATCAGTTTTACTCATTACTTACCTTAAAATATTTGTAGTCTTTAATTTAGGGTCAGGAGTAAGTAAATGAGATAAAACGAATAAATGAGAGAGAGAAAGAATGAGTACATGAGAGGGGACAGGCGCGAGTTATGTAAACAAACCAGGCGAACTTAAGTTTTGTAAAACAAACGAAGTGTACCGTCTGGTTTGTGTACAAGTTACATTGTGTACAGGTTGACTCTACATTGATAGGGTAGAATTAATAAAAAAAGAAACACTCCCATTCTCATGTAAACTCATTTTGAGAAGAAATGAAGCTCTGAGTGAAGGCAATGGAAATAAGTCACACTGACTTTTTTGGGTTATCCTAGGTTCTCTACACGTATGTTATGTATGATAATCTCTGTAACTATTTGTGTATACCTGAATAAACTTACTTACATACATACGAAAGGAATAATTTTCTACAGTTACCCCCAGTAACACATTTTTCTTTATGTTAGATTAGAGAAAATGTTATTCTTGCCGTCACTTGTACAAGTTATGTGGCTCCCACATCTTATATTTGTTTATTTATTCTATTGTGGGGTGTATTTATCATCTTTTTATGTTATGTATCGTGTTTATTATATAATTTTGAAAAAAAATATCATGGATGGATTAATGAAAATGTGTATTTAACGTAATATACGACATTTAATGAGACTCGGTGAGTATTGTTATTATTATCATTTCTAATATGGCGTCACTTGTGCAAGTCGTCTGCTACCACATCTCATTTATGTTTATTTATTCTACTGTGGGGTGTATTTATCTTATTTATATGTTATGCATCGTGTTTATTATATAATTTTGAAAAAAATATCATGGATGGATTAATGAAATGTTATATTACCCTAATATACGACATTTAAATGACTCGATGATTATTATTATCATTACTAATATGACGTCTGGAGACATAAGACACTTACCAATTTTAATGTGTACCTGCATGCCAGCACAGTATGTAAGTTTATTTAGGTACAGGTATACATAAGTATAATTATCAGAGTATATATAAAATATGAAATAACTTTTAAAAACATTTGAAATTTTGGAGTTTCCAGACAAAATGGAGAGACTTAGTGCTTACTGAGCTCATGGAGAATGTAAACAAACAGGGTGGGGCACGGTGACCATATTAGAAAGTCAGGTGGGGGGAGCTGTATAGCGAGTTTTGGTCATAATTTGAAATGTCCGTATTAGCGGAACGCCATAAAGTGAAACGCCGTAAAGCGGGGCCTTCCTGTACATCAAAAACCCTGGCGCGTAAGCCGTACTAGTACATCGGAAACCCTGAAAGGGTTAAAATATTTTTGTCCTTAGCTTACAATGAGTGGTGAATATATTTATTATAGGAAGTCTGAATAAATGAAGAATGAGTATAATTGAAAACTGCTTCATTAGCAAAACTCCTTTAGTAAAGCAAGGTGCTGTAAAGTGGGGCCCTCCTGTACATAACTCGTTGTAGGATAATTCTCCTCCAACAACCTGCTGTATGGTTTACCTACAAATTATTATCCTTTGGAGATGTTATAAACTGAAATTAAGCTACAAATAAGAATTGAACCAGTTTAACATCAGCCCCTACATGCTGTGGTACACTAGGAAATTCCTTTCATATTTTAATACTGGACTGTAATATGAATAAGACATAAACTTGTACTTGGTAACTCTTCTTGTGAGTACTCTTAATATAAATGGAGTAAAAGTTTGTCCCTACAAATTCATGTGGGGGCGGGTGACGTTCCTTGAGGTCTTGTGAAACTAGAAACTACAAGATTCCAGTAAATTTTCACTATTAAATTTTGTTTCAGATATGGGTTAATTTCCATAGACCATATCTAATCTGGTTGATATTGACATCCATAAGAAATAATGACCAGAATAGAGTTGGGCATGGGGAAAGTCGCTTAACTTGAAAAATGATGGATTGTTGATTTTTTTTTCAAAGGCTTGTCCTTACCTGGAAAGGGTTTTGAAGGGTCAATGCTCCCACAGCCCTGTCTGTGACTGGGCCTCACAGTGGATCAGGCCCTGATCAACCAGGTTGTTTCTTCAGTATAAATATTAAATAATTTTATCATTTAGTTAAAATGTTCAATAATTGCATGTTTACTGGCTACCCTTTATTAAAAATGTTAGATGGCTGAAGAGTACTGGATTATATAGTTCTTTAGAAGTTTCCCTGCTCAATATATTTCTCCAACTCCTGTTCTTGATATTATCAGAAGTAATTTACTATGTTATTTTGGGGTGCCTTGGTGCTAGTGGTGTGCTCTTGATCTGAGGAGTTACAGCTTCCCTTTTCCTTGGATCAAACTCAGTTACCTTCCATTCCCCAGGTGCTGTATGGCTCTTGTAGGCTTAGTGCTCTCCCATGAATATAATGATAATTATTCAGTTAGGAAGAGTTCTGTAATGTATTATAGTACATAATTACTTTTGGACGTACGTGTATAGTGAATTTTAGACCGAGCTGATGAGCTTTTTTTATAAAGCAACAATCATTTTTTGCCAGACAAGCAGTGTGTAATTTCATCGTTGATGTAATTATAAAAGTCATTCTGTAACAAAATACACATTAATGTAAATAATACTGTGGAACAAAATTTTGATTGACCCCGAGATATGTTGAGTAGGAGTAAATTGACTTGTTATATGGGTTACTGAATCAACATGTATTACCATAAGTCAGGTCAGTCCACAGCAGGATTCTAACCTGTGTACACTGTAGCAAAGTACACAGTACTTTATCCACACAACCAGATCCCAGGATTGGCCTGTGTGGATAAAATATTGAGTACTTTGATGCAGTGCACACAGGTTCAGATCCTGCTGGAGAGTAACAGATAATGTTTGCAAATAGTATTTCGCCTCTGTGAATTGTTAAGCATGTATTACCATGTTAATCCATAAATATCAATGCCCAAGAACATTCTAAAATATTTTTTTTCCTAATGAGTATTACAAGACTCAACATTTGTTTGGTATGAATAATAATGTTTGATGTGCATGCAAGCAGCTCCTGTTCAAGACCTGTCAGTGACTTTCTCCTGAACAAAAATTACAAATATTTGTCACAACTAAAATAAGGCAGTGACATGCAGTTATCTTCTGGATTGGCATTTTGGGTTTAGCTTATCAGGTCATGTGTAGTGTGGTACATGCTATGGCAGCCTTTGTATTCGTGGGCGATAATTTTTTTTTTTTTTTAAACCAGTTACAAGTGTCGGCCATGAAATAGTTTTGTATTGCTGTATTACTTCGTATGAGCAAATATAAGAACAGTATTACATCCTTCAAGATTACTGCTTTTTTTTGTGTGTGAATTGCATGTGTATGCCCCTATTTGTGTTTTTAGGGGTCAAGATTTGGCTCCTGCCTGTGTTTGAGAAATTGTTTTTAATGTTCATTCAAGTTTGAACTTTCAATTTAGATTTTCTTTATGCTTGAACATTGAAATACATTTTTCATAGTACTGTGTTCTCAGTAGGAATCTCTTAAGAATGATAAATATAAGCAATAACTGATTGCATTGTGAACACATTTTGTTCAGCTCAGCCAAAGGACGCAGGTTCAGTCCTGGGCGAGTGGAGATGAATTGGGCAAGTTTCCTTAAACTTGCAAGTTTCCTTAAACTTGCTGCCCCTGTTTACTTAGTAAATTAGTATCTGGGTGTAAGTTGACTGTTGCTGGTTGCAGCCTACGGTCCAAGGACTGAAGAAACCCAGTGGACACTAGCCACGTCGCTTGGCTTTTTTGGTGAATTAAGGGTAAATTACTCACTGGACTTCAGCTGAAGAAATTTGTCTTGGGGTCATGGTGTACACTTGCTTCCAGTGTGCTTGTGGATGTCCTCAAGAATGGAGGTTTATTTTTCCTGGCTCCTGTTGATTTTATGTCATCGAATTTGGTAGCAAGTTGCCAAGTCATTTTGATTGAATCGTGTTTTGATATTTCACTTAGTGTTGACATAAAGTATATTTTAAGACAGTCTATCTTTAGTCCAAGAAAGCTGTAACCTTTCCTAAGTTGACCCTTTTCAATACAGTAGACCCCCGGTTAACGATATTTTTTCATTCCAGAAGTATGTTCAGGTGCCAGTACTGACCGAATTTGTTCCCATAAGGAATATTGTGAAGTACATTAGTCCATTTCAGACCCCCAAACATACACGTACAAATGCACTTACATAAATACACTTACATAATTAGTCGCATTGGGAGGTGATCATTAAGTGGGGGTCCACTGTATATAAAAATGCCAAAATTTGATATTGCCATTTCAACCTTGTACATTCCACTGGAATTGTATAGGAAGTTTGTAACAAACTTCACAAGGCAGTAACATGACTTTCGTGTTTGGCAATACAGCATCATTATGTGGGATTAATAGTTGCTATTTATTGGTAAGTAACGTAGCTTATTACGGTAGAAATTGGTTAAACTTTTTTTTGGTATAAATTCATGGTAGAAAGACAGTGAAGCATTGTGGACTGGTTTACTTTGGGTAAAGGTTCTTTGAGTCATGAAACAGTAATATTTTGCCTGGTGCCAAGTGTCTACCATATTTGTCAATACCTGCCATTCTATGGTATTGTGTAATAAAGACCCAGATATTGAGGGTTTTGTAAGGTTTTCACCATATTTGCCCACAAGAGCTCTGGCTGGAGGACACAGTGGAGAGAGTTTGAAGTTGTCAAGATGTCAGCATGAGTGGAATGCAAATCATTTCTGCAGATAAAATTATAAATTGCTAATGTATGTTCATTGTTAAAATTAGGTATATTGTAAAAACCAGGAATCAAAATATCTAACAAAAGAAAATTACAATCTCATCCCAACTAATATCCAACTGGACTGAAATAAGGCATTAGGTTAGACTTGAAGCTTAGTGACATCTTGAATT